AGTTCCACTATTCCCCCCCCCCCCCCCCAATGGACCAACCACTAACCGTTTACCATGTTGATTCGGTTTTTAGTTAATACTGTAGTAGTTCACCGGTTTTTAGACTAGTCGAGTAAAAGTCTAAAAAATATCTTTACCTAGTCCTGTTTTTCTCTCTCTTAGGAACACAAGGACTTTGAAAGTCTCAGAGAAAGTGTCTCCCCTTGTGTACAACTACATCTTCTCTAGTACTTACTTTCCCCTGTGTCCAACTACATCTTTATCCACCTGGAAATTTCTTTACCTCTTGTGGTTTTTTCACCTCCTCCCTTTCTCTCGTCTTCCCAAGTCTGTTACCTGCGAAGTCCGCCCGACCGGTACCAGGTCAGGAGTAGGACTGGAGACCCTGTCTGGAGAGCGACAGGCAGAAGTAGGGTGGGAGTCCGACAAGACAGTGTGTAATAAGTAGGACAGTGGAGGGCGTGGAGTGAAAGAGAGAGAGAGAGAGAGAGAGAGAGAGCAGAGAGAGGAGAGAGAGAGAGAGAGAGACTTGAGGTACACGTGAGGTATACCAGTGTCAAAAGTCAGGGTCAAAAAAGAGACGACCGACAGACCGGACAGGACTACCACTTGGAAAAGGCGAAAAGTTACAAATAAAGACTTCGGATGACAGGTCGTTCTAACAAACGTGTAACGTTGTTAAGTATTACCGCATTCATTTGTTGTTATCCACGGATTCAATATGAGTCATCCGTAACTTATTGCCCTTCTTGAGGTGGGGGGTTTTTTTTTTTTTCGACTTTCATTACCGAAACTTTTTGTAACTCGTACCGATAAACAATCGTTTGGATGTCAACGAACTGATAAAGAGACTTCCGTCTCACTCATTGTAATCGTAAATAAACCTTTTAGTACAAGGACTTTTTTGATTACCTATAACTCGATCTTTTATGAAATAACGGGTTAAAGTATGATCGCAATCGGGTTGTAAAGATATGATCGTATCGGTTGTCAATAATAACGTGTACCTCACCTATCTCGTGTAAGTGTCCTCAGTACAAATAATGTTGTAATAAAACAATCATTTACGTGATGATACAAGTGGTCTTATCTTGTGAATCAAACAGACAATCGGAAAACCATCGCTGTAACCAATTAGTCTATTTTCACCACCCTAATGGTAAAATAGTACAATACGGACTCTCTCATTTTCGATCGTTCAATTATATCGTCAGTTATTGGTTCGGATACATCGAATTTCCCTAAGTAAATCACAACACCCGGAGAAACATTTACGTAAAACTAAGAGTAAATCGACCGAAGGTAAGGAAGTTCCCGAGTACGTCCAGTCAACAAATACATTTCGATTCCTTCGGATTTTGTTTTTCACAACGTCGTATATACTCAGTTTTAATTGAAAGGCGGAACCTGAACAGAAAAATTAAAATAAAATTATTCCAACATCCGATATACCATAATAATTACTCGAGGTGGTCTCAAACTTGTAGTCGACTGAAGAGGTCGACTGAGAACAGAGAACCGTCGTTTATAAACAGATTACCCTATTTTTCCCACTTGAAACTTAGGACGATAACAAAGACAATACGTTGAGATGAGACAAACCTAATCGAAAAGATTGTTAATAGTTGAGGTCGCGTGTGTACACCTTGTGAGTCATATTTATGATTCCGTACGTTATTTATTATTGTTTCCTTTTATGACTATATGGTACGTGTGTCCGCGTTCCTGTTTACGTATAACTTTGTGTGTGTGTGTGTGTGTGTGTGTGTGTGTGTGTGTGTTGTGTGTGTGTGTGTGCTGTGTGCGTTGTGTGTGTGTTGTGTATGTGTGTTGTGTTGTGTGTGTGTGTGTGTGTGTGTGTGTGTGTGTGTGTGTGTGTGTGTGGTGTGTGTGGTGTGTGTGTGTTGTGTGTGTGTGTGTGGTGTTGTAGTGTGTGCGTTGTGTGTGCGTGTGTGGTGTGTGTGTGTCGTTCTGACAATTGTGTATTTACTTTTCTGTGTACAGTCTAATCTAGGATTTGCTCGCCTAATTGCTCCTCTCTCAAATCGTCCACCCCCTGGTTCAATCGTACCAGTGTGTGTGTGTGTTGTGTGTGTGTGTGTGTGTGTGTGTGTGGTGTGTGTGTGTGTGTGTGTGTGTTGGAGTGTGTGTGTCGTGTGTGTGTGTGGTGTGTGTGTTGTGTGTGTGTGTGTGTGGTGGTGGTGTGTTGTGTGTGTGTTTGTGGTGTGTTGGTGTGTGTGTGTGTGTTGGTGTTGTGTGTGTGTGTGTGTGTGTTGTGTGTGTGTGTGTGGTGTGTGTGTGTGGCGTTTCGTATAGACCGTTACATTCCTAAATGTCCTACTTTGAGCGACTATGACGAGAGTCTACAAAAATATTCGGGTTTTTTGTGTGTGTGTGGTGGGTGTGTGTGTGTTGTGTGTGTGTGTGTGTGTGTGTGTGTGTGTGTGTGTGTGTGTGTGTTGTGTGTGTAGTGTGTGTGTGTGTGTTGTGGTGTGTGAGGAAACGTGTTATTCCCCGTAGATAATCTCATTTGTCGTCCTAAATTTTCCACTGATATTTCGAACAAAAACATTAATATCAGTTGATAATTTAGGTGACACTCGTAACCTTCATGTTATAACTACCTTTACCCTTCTATTCATGTGTCTAACCTTATGTAAACCTGCTAAATAGGTTGTACCGGCTCCGTAAAGTAAACCTTATACTACACAACCTGATAGTGGAGAATTTAGAATCTCCTCATTTTGAAAAGCAAAGATGGCAGGAGGAAAGGGAGAGGCATGTTAATCTTTATATCTTTAAATCTTTTGTTCTTTTAAAATCCTGTGGGTATTTTTAATCTCTTCTGCACAAACGGGTAAGAGCACACTGAACAGAGCTGAAAGGGGAACAAATAGTCATGGTTTTGTGAATAGTTTCTGTGCATGAGAAATAACAAATGAGTCAGTTTCATAGCAAAGTCAACATGGGAAAGATATTGCATAAGACAGGACAATTGCTCATTCAGACAAACAAAACAAATATCCATCTGTCATTGACCTAATTCTCATGACTGTATTCAAGTAAAAAATCGAGGAAGCCCAGCGCTGCAGAAAACAGAACAAACAACCAAATTATTTTTGTTGCTAACGCCTTACGTTTTCTTGGGAGTGGGCCACGGGCTAACCGATCTGTGACAGAGGCACATTCAGTCTTCCTGTGTTGTGTGGTCGCAGTGGAACCAGAAAGTACAACCATCTGGAAGGGACGCTATTATTTTCTTTGAAACTAGCAAAGCCAGGGCCTCGGTCTAAAGCCACATAAAGGCTGAGAAACGTCAGGATATTTGTGTTTGACACAAACACAAGACTAAACAACTGACGGCAGACTTGTTTGTTTTGCACTTTTGGAATTAGATGTCATCAAGAATGTCCTGGGAACTAAGTTTGTCCAATAATACATACATCCATTCCTTCCTTCAAAAACAAAATCCCACATTGAATGCCCTAATTTCGATACTGGGAAGACATTGTAGGGTTGACAATTGGTGCTTTCACAAAGATATTTGATAAATAATCGTCAGTAATGTGGCTATAATGAATGGGGGCCTTAAGGAAAATAAGGATCAGCTAGTATAGTCTGGAAAGTTTGAAAAAAGAACAATACTTCACTGTAATGCAACCATTAAAACGAAAACTTGCCTCATGTGGTTTTAAGATATCTAAAATTGAAGAAGATTCATAGATCATACCACAATATGGATGTATTTCCAAGCCGCACTTTGACGATTCATACATCTGTCCCGCAATTCTTCAATTCATCATTCACCTATCAAACCTTTTGAGTCATCCATCAGTTCGTTCTACTTTCTACCCGTCATCCAGAAATCGATTTATTCATCCAATCATAAATCCATCAATCCAGCAATCCTTCCAGCCATCTGTTGATTCATATATCTGTCCTAACATACCTCCATCCATCATCTAGTCAATCCATCCATCCTCCAATCCATCATCCATCTCGGGGATCATACATCCATCATCCATCTATATGTCATCCGGATATTTATTCATCCATTGTCCAGCAATTCAATCAATCAAAACTCTATTCAA